AGAATCCAGATACTGAAAAACTGGGTTCTTATTATGCACTATTGGTTGCATTAAAAACTATGAATGAACGTTGTCGACAATTAGAAACAAGATTAGCCACTGTTGAAGAAGAAAACATGTGTTTAAGGCTTGAATGTGGGAAAGATGAGTCTGCAGCAATTATGAAAATAAAAGATGATAATGAAGAAACTATTGTACAAACCTTGAAGGTTTGTATATTTATATAAAATTATAAAATATTCATATTTTATACATAGATACATTATATTTTAATACAGTTCGATTGATAGGTAAAAGTAGAAGAGCTTACCAAACAAAAATCTCAACTAACTCATCAGATTTTTATGGTAGCGGAAGAAAACCGTAAATTATGGAATCGATTAACAAAATTAACAAGGACTAATAAATCGTTAGGTAGTCAATTGACAAAAATTTCTGATACACTCAAACAACATTCCCCGGCTCAACCAACAGACATTGTGTCTTATAACTTTTGTGATATTTCTCAATCCACTAAATCAAAAGATGGTAGTCAACAATTAATTGCAGATAATGGTTTGTATTTGTGAAATGTACATTGAATAGTGCATATATATTAATTTAAGAAATGTGTATATGATTTCAGAGGAAAAAGAACAGACTTTGGAAGAAATATCATTAAGACTTATCAATAGTATTATGTTAGAAAAATCAGATCTTGAACAGCAATATGCAGAGGTAAGTAAAAAGTATTATACATTTAGTAAATTTCATGAACTATTATAATAATATTTCCTAATTATTTAAATAGATGGTCGAACTACAAAATAGTACTGAAGTGAATTTACAAAATATTGGATTTACTTATCCAGAAGATTCTGATACAGACTTAGAGTTATTAAAACAGCATGATATTAGATTAAGTCAAATAAAAAATACTTTATTAGCACAACAAACCAAGCTAAAAAGAGCCCTACTGCATTTTAGAAAAATGAAAGAAGGTAATAAACAATATCTAATGTGTAAAGAAAAATTTGCAGAAGGTTATCTTAAATATTGACTTTATAGGAGCAATGTGTAATAACTGTCGCATGAATGCAAGCAAGAAAATGTGTCAAGCTGGGACACAATTCGATTCGGATGAAAGTTTTAAAGAACATGGTGCAACTCAAACCAGTCTTCAAACTTCGAGTCTACCTTTAGAAAAATGTTCTAATTCAACAGATAATGCTGAAGAAGATGATAAAATTTGTCCATTGTGTGGATCTTTTTTTGAAAAACATACTTCATTTACAGAATTCCATGAACATGTTTTAAGCCATTTTACTAAAGAAGTATCTATCGATGGTTTTGAAATTGTTCATTAACAACTATTTAAACCACAAGTAATGGTAATAACCCGGCATCATTCGTTTCTAAAGAAATTCCATAAATTATTACATTATTTTAAAAATAAAAGATAATTGTAAATACTATATATACATTCATTGTAAGTGTGTTAACTTTATCAGCATTAGACATGTTTTTGATTACTGAATTTTATGAACTGTTGATCCAGATAAGATTTAATAGAAGAAAATAACCATCATGGATAGAAATGCAATACAAAAAAATTAATTTATTATAAAAGATAGTCAATATGATTGTTAGTAATATGACATGTATTTTTTTGTTTTTAAGCTGTGATGATAACGGAGAATTAAGATAATAAAGTTATTGTAATAATCCTACACTTTAAAAATAAAATAAGGATGGTGAATATTTTACTTTTAATATAGGTGTAATGTTTTTCAAATTTATTTGTTTCCTATAACTAAATTGGATATAAACAGAAGTACCTTGCTGATGCTACTTATTCTTTATCTACAATTATAGGTGTATTTACAAGTTTTACATCTTTTTCCTCAGATGGTTCTTGCATAGTTGGCTGAAGTAAGTTCGAATTAAACCATTCAGGTCTCTTCTTAGGTAATTCAACAATTCTCTGTGTCTGTTAAATGTAAATAAAAGTTTTTATTCTAAATAAATTTTATAATGACAAATGTAATTAAATTAACTACCTTCCAAAATTCCTCTTTCAGTTTTTCTTTCTCTCCTTCGTATAATACTATAACATTTTGTTCCACTGGTTCAATTCCCAATTCTTTTTTTATAGCTTCCATCATTTCTTTTGTTTCAGTTTTTACTATTTCATAACAATATCCTATAATCATTAATAGAATATTAACATTCTATTATTTGAAGATATAACAATAAGGATTAGTGTTTTCAGTTACTTTTCGAATCTTACCACAAAGTAAACCAGCTTCATAATGATGACCACATCGTCTACACATCAAAATATTCGTTTTAGGAACATGTGGTTTCCATATATAATTAGGCCAACCAAATCTTCTGTTGAGTCGTTTTTCTATAGTACGACGTTTCTTAGGTACAGCCCACAAAAAAGAATCGTTTAAAATGTCTTTTAAAGATCGTTCGGGCAAATTTGTAGGATGGGATCGGTTTATAATATTATTACAATCAATCACACATAAACTACCTAAATGAAATACAATGAAAAAAAAATATATTTATATATATGGAACAAATTTATAATAAACTATGTATTTATATACATATAACATTGTTATTTTCTATCACTTATAAGCAATATTAATTTAAATTTCTTTTTATAGGTTAGGAATGCTAGGTTTGGTAGTTAGTAATTTTCAATGTGTTGCAACGTTGTTATAAGTAAATACAATATGAACTATAGTTTCTTATTACCTGGCGGAAAACCTCGACCCAAAATAATATCAACTGCTTCGTCAAATACTTTAAATGCATGAGATAACCTTTTCAATAAACCACCCGCCATGATTAATCATAGATCACAATATATGAAATAGATAGAAATCAGTGTCCATGAATTAAAGGCTAATTCTCATTACGCATATATTTGCAAAAACTTTAATACACATTAATTCAATCTTAAATATTTATTTCCTCATTTATTAAAGTGACTAGAAAAATCTGAAGGTTATATAAAATTCTTCAAATAAATTCAGTAATAAGTAAAATGATATTCTACAAAAAATAATTGAGTTGCATACCATTCGAGAATACAATCGACATATATTAAGACTATTTAATAGTCTTCACAAAGTCTTTATGAAATCTGAATAATTTATGTTTCGAGTTCAAATAAAAAAGAGGTCGCTGAAAAGCAATCACTTTGACATTTTTTCGAGTTTAATGCCGCTTTCTTCAGAAATACTCGATGATTGAAGTCACTCAAGATTCATAGTACCATTCCGATTAATGCCGTTCAAAGCAGGTGTATTTACAGGTGGGGAAGGGAAAGGGAAAAGTGGGTGGGGAATCAATTTTGAAGTGTCGGTGGGGAGTAGTTGGACTCGAAAGTCTTTAGGAGTCGTTTGACTTGGCTCACTACAGTTTTCGCTATGGCGTGTATAGGGTCGAGTAGGCTCTGTGCTCGTGTAGAGAAATTGTGCCAGTTCGGACATTTCGCCCAATTACGGAGGAAAGTTTCAACGACATGTGTCAAGTCACGACCCAGAATCGAGCAGCAGACCAGCACTTTAATTCAGCACTGTCAGGTACGTTGATTTCAACTTCATTGCCACAATACACGAGTAATCTTATCTACGATAATCACTTCATGTTGGTGGTAAATTTTGAAGCTATCAGCAGGTTATCTCTAGGCCAATATTCACCGATATACTCACAAAATCATATATTTCATTCATTTTTCGTTCAATATCAAAAGTGACCCGCGTGTCACTAGCGACATAACCTACTCTCGTCTAGGGTCTCAGAACGGTTACACGTTGATCCGCGGTTTTTTGTTTCGCTTGCTTTACAAGTTTTTATAGGCATTCAGAAGCGGAACTATTAAATAATCGAGGATATTTCGAACTCATGTGAGAAGTACGATTCTAATGGATTTTGTGATCCAACTAAATTACATAATGTCTCTGTAAAAAGTGTCGGTAAAACACATTCCTTCACTGAAACGCTATTGGATTTAAAACGAAGGTTAAGAAACGATCGTTTTCTTTACACACGCTGGCAGTTGCTATTTTAAGGGAAAAGTCATGTGCAAGACAATTATAGCCGGCAGATATAAAACATTTCGTACGAAGTTCAGCAAACCACGTTTTTGTCCGGTCGAGCTGTCAGCTGTTCCTAGCAGACGACCTAGTTGGCGTCTCTCACTTGCGCAGTTCAAATGAATGTCTTAACACTATACCATGGACAAAAAATAAAACAACAGTTTCCACTCGAATGACATACGAAAAATCGAAATTCAATTATTGATTTATTCATTTATTCACAATATCATCTAACACAATATATAACTCAATGCAAGCGTTGTGTTGACTACAGGAGCGACTCTCGTTCGTCGAGCGCATGCGTAGCAGTCAAATTCAAATGCGCTCTAACCACTCGCCGTTACGAACACGGAAAAAGAACAGTTTCTTCTAACGAAAACTGCAGGAATTGTTGAAAATAGTTTATGGTTCGTCGTTGCCCACGGTTTTTCCCGTTATGGGATATTAATTTCTCGTCCGTAGTTTCTAATTCAATCTTAATTTCTAAGCGTCTTAACGGCCTCCAACGAAAGTTTTCCATAAATCGTTCCGCGGTACATCCACACGAATTGCACGACTTTCTCTGCTCGAAAGTGACACGGAGATCGGATTTTGAAATCTCTTTTCGATCGGTCGGCTATCGCAGACTCGCGAGCCGGTCGGTCACGACGCACACGGCTAATCGTCCGTACATATTACGTAAGTCTTAGGTAAACGGATGGCCAGGCGTTGCCCGGCGTAGAAAGATCCTTTTTCTCTATTTCACGGCGACGCTGGTCAATATTATCGAATCGAGCGAAAACCGGTCGCGAACGGTCGGAGACGAATTTCATGTCCCGCTTCTCGTAAGTAGGCTAACTGGCCCGTGAGATATCCTTCTTCGAGCATGGTTAACCTATGGAATTCACGCTCTTGACTTTCTCGGCTTGTTTAGCCGCGCCACGCGCGTAAAGATCCCTGCTCTTATTCACCGATTCACCTACGAATCCACGGTTCTGCGTGTTTTTTTTTCTGTTTTCTTTTCTATTTCTCGTTTTTTCCCCATAAAGGCCTGCGTTTCCTATAATTCCGCGCAATTCGAAAGCGATACAGTCCGTGTAATAATTTACATCGCGACGACCTCGTTTCTTTTTTTCAGTGAAATTGTGTGTAGCACGGAATTCGATTCACGTCGCAATAAACAATATTATTCTCCTCTCTTTTTTCAGTGGAAGGGAAATTGAAAATTTAGATTAGAGATTGTACTCGAGGATTTTGTTTTGTACGATTATTTAATTCAATTAGATTTCACTGGTTTTGGTCTATTGAATTACAATGTTCGTGGGATTTGCTGTTGAGCGATTTTACTAGTCTATTTGTTTTAGCAGAATTTTCGTTTTTTTTAGCTTCGTTTTCTAAGCGACTAATGGTTTTACTTTTGCTTTAGTTGGTTTCTATACTTTTCTATATTCTTTAATGTCCGACGCGCGCACCTACGATTTAAGCATACCCGTTTTCGAAATTCCTCGCGGCAATCCATATTCCGCTTAAGTAGACGGAAATTCCAGGATATTTTTTCAGATGAGCTGTAGCGCGCAGGTGTTATCTGATTTAAAATTCTTCCGCAGTGTTCTCGCTTCCACGAAGCGCATATTTTACAAAATATGATTCAAGGGACGAGGCGATGTATTTTAATGAATTTGGCGGTTATTTTTAGACACGACTATCATTGACCATCCAATTTCAACGAATTATAATTAGCTAGCTTATCGTGGATCCGTCAAAGAGGTCCGAAACGTTGTTAACTTGAAACTTTGTTCGGCGATTTCAATGCATGGTGAACGCTATCGTCGAACTCTCCGAGAATATTTGAATATAATTCAAAGGAGTAGAGTATTATACAATTATTTCCGTGAAATTTTAATTCTTGTCCCTGTCCTGCTGTTAAATATTTTAATATAATATTGCTAAATATTTTAAAAATTGTGCTGTTTCATTGTTAATTTTAAATATCTTCTAAATGGCAATATACTATGTACAATTTTTTTAATGATAATCTACTTCTTACCATGCTGTTCAATTACTGTCGTTGTTGAGCATACGTTTAGTTACTTTTTATAACAAGTGATTAGCGAAATGTAATTTGTAATATGACACATGTAGAGTGTAAATGTAAAATAGACTTTACAGTTAAATATAAAGTAGACCATATATTTACAATCATATTACGTTAAACTTTAATTATATTCATTTATTTCTAATTTTTTTTCTATATCAGTTTTTATTAATTCTTATAATGTGAAATTTCTTGTAATTTTATTAAGTGTAAATATAAGGTCACTAACACCATGGATTTGCAAGTTCTGTTTCGCGAGCGTCACTCGCCATAACTCGCGCACAATAAGGGAGATTTCTTTCATTGACGCACGACGTACTTGCTTTTGGCATTCCGCTCTCGTGAACGTTCCACGTGTGTACGCACGCATAGGAATGCGTGAATAGTTTTACAATAGGATTGTTGTTAAATTACTGCGCACCGCGTCGGATGAGGCACCCTGTAAATTAACATACTTGTCTTGCGTGAGCCGGCACGTTTGAACAGCGCAATTAGATTTTATTTAAGTGACTGTGAAACGCTAATTAGTTGCATTCTGTTCTTTACAATGTTTCTTGTTCTGTAGTATTTAAAAATTGATTATTCTGTGATTTTGTTGACGCATTTAACACTAAAACTACCAGGATCTCAAAATGACCCACTTCTGATTTCTTCCGTTTGCAATTACTAAAAAGATAACAGATGTTTCTTTGAGAAATTATTAAAGAAATTGATTTAGTAATACGCAAACTGAATTGTAAATCAATTAAAGTTTCAGCAGATATACTCTTGGAGTTTATGTAGAGAAATTTCGAAAAGTCAATTTAACTGCTCAGTAGTTTAGTGATGAAGAAATTTAATCCTTTTTCATTCATTTCCATTAATTTCAGTTTTAAAGTAGTTTTTATTCATTATTAAACTTACGTCGATGAAAATGTCTTTTACTGCAAAACACTGGTAAAATTTACGTGAAAACCTGTGGAACATCATGTAAATAAAATAACACTGTCAACGCTGTCAGTTCTGCAATTTTATACACGTGCACGTGAAACTACTTTGCTAGCACTAATCCATAGTAAAATATGTTTAGATCCAACTTTCTTCTTACATATGTTCTACATAAAAAGAAATCGAGTTACTATCGTTAGAATTTTCTTTTTCATTCTACGTGCACTCAGAAAAATGGAGAGGCTGAGTTAACCCTTTGCACTCGAATGTTTCTTCGTTAGGTATATTCACCATTTTCTAATGAAATAATAATTGAGACACTGTATTAAACTTCTTTAAGTACTACACGAATCAATGGATAGGACTGTTTTATTTCAATATTTCACGTTCGATTACATTAAATAAAGTTCGATATTAAATATTGTTATGGATAATTTAATTTCCTCAATAATCCTCGAATACAAAGGGTTAAAACGATTGCACAGAACTTCGAGCATAATGTAATAATATATCTACACCGTTGAAAATTTTATTATTTTTCGTTAGCATTAAGATCTTTCTAAGCAACGTGTTTCAATTGAAAAAATCCTTTTTCAATTAAGATTAACGTGTTAACCAGATCATCTTTCAAACGTAAACACTCGACGCAAATCAAGAAGAATTAAATTAACACAATAAAAATTTTGCAAAAATTTCCATTCATATTGCAAAAACTATTAATTGACTAAAAGCGAAGTATTACCGAGAATCGAAGTTGCACTCGAACGAATTAAATTCGACCTTAAAAAATGAAAAATATAGTTCAAATGTTCATAAATACATACGTAAAAAATCAACAACAAATAACGTTCAGATTAAAAAAAATGTCCTCCACCAAATTAAGCCTAGAAATTGCAGTTTTTAATGAAAATACTGCCTTAAAAACCAATGTTTCCCCACACACGCGAAAGTCCATCAAATTTTTACCAAGAGTTGTGAAAAATCCGTTGCAAAAACAGGGTTACTCGTCCTTAAAATGGATTGCTAGCATCGTTTTACAAGACTACGTTCATTAAGACATTCTTCGTTTGTGTCTGGCGGGTTTTATTGCCTGATCGAGTTCACCAGCCTGTAATGTCGTTGGACATTCACATGCAACAACCATTCACGTTGGCAAGCGGTGTTCAACGTCAGAACAGTTCTTAGTCCGCCAATTGCGATACGCCACATCCATCCTCTTGTTTTTCACGGTTTGGAACGTGGTTTACCCAAGGACGCTGTAATTAGGGATACTTATTTTTCAAGGACATTTTCTTGGATAGTAATCCACTGCTGCCTTCTATTCGTTCGTGAATGGCCACGAAACATTCGCTCATGACATTTACCAACCTTCATTTCTCACCGATTTTTTCTCCTCGTTAACCTTTGACCGCCTTTAACACGTTCCCGACCAGCATCACGTATTTGTGACGCAAAACGTTTTGTACATTGCGTGAAGAAAATT